TTTAGTTACTAATTCTATGAGACCTGTAAAAGCAGAATATGGTAAAAAAAAAGTGGAAAGAATACAATTTAACAAATTAAAAAAGTATTTTTTTTTTGTGTGATTTATTTCACATTTAAAGATTTTCCATAGTAAAAAAGAAATCCATTTCTTACTTGGAATTTTTGTATCATTTCGTTTCCAAATATCTAAAAGTTTTTCAATCAAGATGTAATTTCTAGAAAAGCAAAACATAAAATCAAAATAAATAAATAAATTAATAATAATAATAATAATAATAATAATAATAATAATAATAATAATAATAATAATAATAATTTTGCTTTGAAAAACATACCATTTTGTTTAACTTATATCAAGGAAAAACACACCTTGTTTTTACTTCTGAAAACAAGAAAATATTTTTTACTTGTAAATAAAATGCTTCTTGATTTAAGAATTTGAAGATATTTGGACTAAAACGACACAAACTCTAAATACAGCAGAATATGGTAATAAAAGTACAAACTATACAATTTAATTAAATAAATAAAAAAAACTGAAGGAAGAAACAGCAGCATCAGAATGAAGAACAGGTTTTTACTGAAGATTAAACTCTCTGGAAGTGGATTTTAAATCTCAAACACAATCACACAAACCTCCGAGGAAACCAGTGAACGGAAGAATCACCTCTCAAATGGTTGAGTTTGATTAATGACTGATCTCAGTCCTGCTTACAATCTGTACAAGACAATTTGATTTCAAGTGAGTTTAATTTCAAGTAAAGGCATTGGCATCTATAGAAGGTAGTGAAAAGAATGCACCATGAAATGATGCTTGAAACCAATCTGTAATTTGAAATATTTCTGCATAAAATATTCAGTTTGTTTTTTTAAGTGTGACCATCAGGCAAGCCAAATTATATAGATGAGAAGCAATTACATTTTTTGTCAATTAATCGATCAATCAAATATTTAAATTATTTCACTCTATGACCACAGTGTACCCATCTGATGGCTACTTCCAGCAGGATAACACACCATGTCATAAAGCGGGAATCATCTCAGACTGGTTTCTTGAACATGACAATGAGTTCACTGTACTCAAATGGCCTCCACAGTCACCAGATCTCAACCCAATAGAGCACCTTTGGGATGTGGTGGGAGATTTGCATAATAGATGTGCAGCCGGCAAATCTGCAGCGACTGTGTGATGCTATCATGTCAATATGGAGCAAAATCTCTGAGGAATATTTCCAGTACCTTGTTGAATCGGTAACACTTTACAATAAGGTTCATTAGTTAATGCATGTACTAACATGAACTAATCATGAACAACACATGTACAGCATTTATTAATCATAATTGAACATTTACTAATGCATTATTAACATTCAAGTCCATGCTTGTTAATATTAGTTAATGCACCATGAGTTAACATGAACTAACAATGAACAACTGTATTTTCATTAACTAACGTTTACTAACATGAATAAATACTGTAGTAAATGTATTGTTCATTGTTTGTTCAAGTTAGTGAATGCATTAATTAACATTAACTAATGAACCTTATTGTAAAGTGTGACTGCTGAATCTATGTCAAGAAGGATCAAGGCAGTTCCAGGGGTCCAACCCTGTACTAGCAAGGTGTACCTAATAAAGTGGCTGGTGAATGCATATGATACAAATATCTACATGACTACTATAAACATCTTGTGACAAAAGGTTTTGCATAGTTTTGGTTTGAAGCACACAACTGGTGTGAAAGGTTTTTCTCAAAGCCTTTGTGTTGTTTCTGATAAAAGTGGGCAGTCAACAATGCAATATAATGCATAGCATGCAAAATAAATATATACTGTAACTGAATGGGAAACAAGCTTTTCTAAGCTCTCCAACCCATTCATCTGAAACTCTGGAGCACTAGATTGTTCTGTGTCATATACTGATATTCTTCAAGACAATCTCAGTCTCCTCACTGCCGCCTAAAACCACTTCAGTCTTCAGAATGAGCGCAGAGACTGGAGTGAATGACCCATGTAAGAGAACAAGAACAGCCAGAATAACTGAAGCATTATTACACCCCGCTACAAACCATTGTGCTGAAAATCCTGCCCTGTCTGCAGAAAACCACACCACTGAACAACATCAACCCACAAGGTTTACATTCTTCAGATATTTCAGTTGCAGGCAAAGACAAATATCAGTCTCTGCTGCACTTAACTGACACAATGAGGAAAAATAGCTGACTATCATATAATGGATAACAGGCGAAAACATTATTTCTGCAAAACTGTTTTTTACAGGGGTTAAATTTACTTATTTTGTTTGTTTAAATTCAGCCTAAATAAATTGTTTATAACCACTTAGCTTAATATTTTTAGTAAATCCAAGGGATCATCCTTGAATATTTTTTTTTTCAGTTTAGGAAACAAAGTAAAGTAAGTCAAAGAGACATGCTTTTACTGTAAATAAAATAAAATGAATGAATGAATGAATGAATGAACAACCAAACAACCAAACAACAAATAAATAAAATTATAATACAATAAAAAAAGAATGAATAAATAAATGAAAAATAAATGAATAATGAATAAATACATAAAATAATAATAATAATAATAAATAATAATAAAATAAATATATAAAAGATATAAATAATAATATAAATAATAAATATATAAATAAAAAACTATATATATATATATATATATATATATATATATATATATATATATATATATATATATATATATATATATATATATATATATATATATATATATATATATATATTATATTTTTTATTTATATA